TTTTGGCCCTCAACAACAAATTCCGATGCTGGGGGTTGTGTAAGTACGACAGTTTCAACCTGAGAAATTTCGATTATAGATTCTTGTTTATTTGCTTCTGGGGTAGGTTTTTGGTCCTCAATAACAAATTCCGGTTCTGGGCGTTGTGTAAGTACGCCTTCGATTATAGGCTCTTTTTCCAAAACACCTCCGCATTCAGGTGCAAGTTGTGTGGAAACATGTAGCACATCTAAATCAGTCTGCGCAAATTCTGAAGGGATATTGTTTACGGCGGTTTCTGCCAACACCGTTGACACGCCTGGCAACCGTTCGGAGCAAGGCAAAGACGCTATCTCCGTCTGTTTTTGGTCGGCATGAGGATATGAAATGCTTACTTCGGAGGGCCGCGTTGAGGCTATTGGATGGTCAGAGTCCATTGATCAAATATTTGTTTATATAAACAGGGCCTTTGAGAATGCATAAAGTGAATAAGTCTTTTTACAAATCGGACTCAAAGGGAGAAGTCGGGTTGTTCAAGAAAATGTATTAAGAGATAAAATAAAACGCTAAATCAGACAAAATAGACCAACAATACTGCTAATCTAGCCGAACAGCAAATGATGAACCACAGGAGCAACCCTTTTCTGCTTGAGGGTTCTTTGTGACACGGAATCCGGAGCGAATAAGTTCTTCCTCGTATTCGAGGGTTGAGCCGTCCAGAAGCGAGAAGGACTGATCATCAATGACTACCCGGGCGCCCGACTGTGTTATAACACTACATAGGGTAAGTTAAAACAAAGGTTTGCTTACTGATCATCCTCGTTTATATTTTTTTCTATTAGGAATTTGTACTGAAATCCTGAACAGCCACCGCTGTCTACCATTACCCTCAGAAGGCCGTCATCTTCACCTATTTCACGTAGTCTCTATTAAATAAACCATAAAGTCAAGATCAACCCAAACCTTGACACAGGACTCAGAAAGCGTAACTTTACTGAAGGCATGAAGAAGAGATAGCCTTTTCCATAAGGAACACGCCTTCCGATAGGTCACAGTTCGTAGCATAAGAGCAATCGGCGCTGGTAGTTTGACATGTGTGCCAAAATTATTGGCAAATAAAACAATTCGCGAACACGCGATAATAATTTTGGGTAGGATTTGTAATTTTCCCATTTATTCTGAATTTAAACTCACTATCCAAAGCCCAAAAAGGAATATAATTTATTTATCTAAAAGAATTTATAGTCAAATCTTCATATCCGTATTAGAAGATGCCCCACCTAAAGCATCTGCAGCGTAAGTGAACGCAAACATAGAATTAAACTCTTTCACGGTACAATTGAATCGGGAATTTTGGGGATAATATAGTTGGAAAGAAAAAGTCTGACGGCATATACCATGAAGAAGAGGAGATGCTCTAAAAACTTTTATGAGCAAAAGAGTAACCATGAAAAAAATAAGCCAAGCAAAACTAGGCTATCAAGCAAATAAAGAATAACTCGGTCATGACCTTAGTTTTTTAAGTTTTCTCGATTGAATTTTAAACCTTAAAAATTACAATATAAATTTCCGCGTATGCAAGCCACAACCGGTAATTAGTATGTGCAGGTCGGGCTACCTGTTGTACTAGGGAGTTGGGGAACTTCAACATTTCGCAGGGCAATATACTAAGAAATGGGTGGACAAGCACGGCATGTTATGCACTTTACACGAAATGTACGATACGCAACGGGATGTAAAAAACGCGAGGCCTCCCTAGTACCACCGCTATCTCTTGCGATTGGTGGTTTATGAATACCCAGCTGCGTTTGATGGAAGTTGGCCCACGTATTCATTTTTAAAGTCCGGCATGTACCTGTATAGTTTGATTCCAATTTAGTTACTCCAATCGACGATTAATTTTTGAAAATATTAAAAATCAGTTTTACTTTTTCTTTGTAGCACAACACGCCAAATTATTTCAGGGAAAATTTGTAAAATTTTTAGCCAGGAGCAGGTGATCCTGT